CAATTTCATATTAGAATATGAGCAACTGACCAAAGTCCGCTGAAAACTGTAACATTTAAGGGAGTCAGTTTAAAACGTTGATTCCAGGTGGTCAGTATGAAGTCATGTTAGTTTAAATATATTTACCATTTTTACTAAGGATAAACAAATTCCACCTAGAATGTTAAATGGTTCATACTATGAGTGCTCCACCAGGATGTTGTAACTGGCCTTGAGTACATTTCAGTTAAGTCTTCGGAATAGTGGTTCTGATAATGCGCATCATTTCAATTACCACTATTATCGCTATTATTCGTATTGTTGTTAATATTATTCAAGCAACGATACGTTCATCTGAATGTCTTTTGTCCGTAAATAATCTAACCAACTGTCACAATTCGAGGGCGACATTCTTACAATCGGACTTTGACGCGCTTTCCGATTAATACGTTACATTTACATAGGTACCTGAAACTCTTATTTTTGTGGAATATCTTGCCAAAAAGTTTCGAAAAACTATTGCAATTATTTGCCTTTCAAACACTGAATATTTGGATATAAAACTGTTGACAGATAATACCTATAACTGTCTATTTGCCACTCTGTGCTTGTTTAACACTAACTAATATCTATAATTGTATATATTGATGGATTTACATGTTCAAGTTGGCTCAAGTCAGTGAGTCTATGATTTTGGTATCATTTTGGTTAACTGTAATTGACTGTGATATTATTATTGTTGTTGTCGCTTGTTACCCTTCTTGTTGTGAATTATTTTCCTGTGCTGGTGTTGTTCTGATTGTTTGATTCCTTGTTTTCCTGGTTCTGAGAACAGCAACCCACAATGTCGCTTCTCTCTAAATTTTAATTTAATGTAACAATCCCCTTCTCAGCCGTGAGGCTAGCAACCCCACCCTGTAGACAAAGCTGTTACATAAACTTCTTTGCGCCAAAAGAAAAAGTCTGTGTGAGGACACAGAATGTCCGCACCATGTACGAGATTACCAAAGCTGTCCACATCTCAAACGAAATGAAAAGATACGGAGTTCAAGTACTGGGGATATGTGAAAGCAGAGGGAACGGGAATGGGCTCACCAAATTGTCAACGGGTGAGTCAGTGATCTACTCCGATCACCCAGAGGATAACCGCGCACACCGAGGGCGTGGCTACCATGATATCACCAACAGTAACGAAGGCTCTGATGCAATTGGAGGCGATCTCGCCCAGGATAACTACCGCCAGATTCAAATTCAAAAAAAGGAAAGTGTCAGTTATACAATGCTATGCACCGACAAACAACGCAGGCCTCGAAAAGAAAGAAGAATTCTACAGACAACTACATGTAACAGTGGACAATACTCCAGCTGGTGACATTAAAATACTAATAGGAGACATGAACTCCAAACTGGGATCAGAAAACACAGGAAGGGAACTCATCATGGGTAGAAAAGCTCTCGGAGAAATGAATGAAAATGGAGAACTCCTCGTCAACTTCTGTGCCTTCAATGAACTAGTGATTGGTGGCAGCGTATACAAACACAAGGATATCCACAGGGCTAAATGCGCGAACCAGATCTCAATCTCGAGGAAGTGGAGGCACAGCCTACTGGACACAAAAGTAGGAAGGGAAGTAGACGTTGGCTCAGACCACTATCTCTTACAAGGGGCAATCCAAATCAAATTAAAACCTTCAGAGAAACAGGAGCTGCAGATAGACCACAAGCCAAGTTCAACACTCAAAACCTGAAGGACCAGGACACAAAGGACATCTTCACTGCAAGCATAAAGGACAAAGCCGAGACACAAATCAACACTGGCGAAGACGTCAGCGTCGAAAAGCACTGGAACAACTTGAAGACAATGTGGAGTCAAACCTGCATGGAAGTTCTGGGCAGAAAGAAGAGACAGGAAAAACAGTGGCTCACTTCGGACACTTGGAAACTTATAGAAGAGAGAGGGATGGTGAAACAAAAGATTCTCCAGTGCACCGATGAGCAACAAAAACAGGATTTGAATGCAAGTCACAAGACACTGAACAAAATGGTAAAGAAGGGTCCCAGGGAAGACAAAAGAAAATATTACGAAGCCATGGCAAAAGAAGCAGAACAAGCTGCAGGCAAAGGAGACCTCGCTACACTCTACCAAACTACTAGGTACCTATCGGTCAAACGTTTGACACAAATTAAGCCAGTGAAGGATGACAATAGAAAGTCAGTCACCAAAGAAGTGGAGCAAATGAAACACTGGGCTGAACACTTCAAAAGACTCCTAAATTGACCACCACCGACAACGCGCCTAACAATACCAACAACGGAGACAGAGCTACCAGTGAACACCAACCCCCCAACGAAAATAGAAGTCCTGAAGGAAATCAAGATGCTAAAAGCTGGAAAAGCAGCAGGACCAGATGGAACCCCAGCAGAAGCGTTGAAAATGGACCCAGAGACAACAGCGGACTTGATGACGCCACTTCTGAAGAAGAAGTGGAAAGAAGGCAAAGTACTCGAGGATTGGAAGAAAGGATACTTATTCAAAATACCAAAGAAAGGAGACCTAAGTCAATGCAAGAACTGGCGCGGAATTATGCTCCTGTCCATCTCAAGCAAAATACTAAGCCGCGTCATCCCGGAGAGAATCAAACATGCTCTTGATGAAAAACTTTACCGGAACAGGCTGGATTCAGGAGAAACAAGTCATGCATTGACCATATCGCCACATCACGGATCATCATTTAACAAACTCGGAAAAGCAATCACCCCTCTATCTCAACTTCATCGACTTTGTAAAGGCCTTTGACAGCGTCGATCAAGAGGTGATTTGGAAACTACTTCGCTACTATGGGGTGCCACCGACAATAATACATCTCATCCAACAGCTGTACGACAATGTTGCATGCCAAGTAATCCACAACGGGAAAATCACGGAATCCTTCGAAGTGAGGACAGGAGTAAGACAAGACTGCTTACTATCGCCAATGATTTTCTTGATTGCAGTAGATTGGATAATGTGGCAAACAGCGGACAATGAGGAAACAGGCATAAAATGGACACACACAAAAAGAGACTTGGAGGATCTGGACTTCGCCGGTGATATATGTCTGATTTCTCACAAACTGGAAGATATGCAAGCGAAAAGTAACAAGTTGGCAGAAGAAGCATCAAAGATAGGTTTTCAGGTGAGCATAGAGAAAACAGAGATGATGAAGATTCCTGGACAAGAACAACAACAACAGGCAACGATCAGCATAAATGGGAGGAACCTGAAAGAAACAACCTCTTTTACTTACCTTGGAAGCAACGTCTCAACTACAGGCGGAACTGACGATGATATCAAAGCAAGAATCGGAAAAGCAAGACAAGCTTTCACTACTCTCAAGTCTGTTTGGAGGTCAACAACACTCAGCATCAAAAATAGGATCCGGATTTCCAACTCCAATGTGAAGTCAGTGCTACTATACGGATCAGAGACTTGGCCAGCGCGTCGTAAAGAGCATCTCAAACAAACTACAAACGTTCAATAACAGTTGTCTTCGCTCAATACTTAAGATCAGATGGCCAGAAAAGATCAGCATTAGGGATCTTTGGGAGCGAACCAACCAGGAACCGATTGTGAAACAAATAGGCAGGAAGAAATAGAGTTGGATTGGCCATACTCTGAGGAAACCATCAAATGAGTGACATCGATAGACAAGCCATTGCTCGAGTGGAACCCGAAAGGGAAGCGGCGAGTTGGTCGTCAGTGCAAGAGTGACTTGAAGGAGGTCATGTGAAGAGGAGATGAAAACGTGTGGGCAGACTTGAAGCCAGGTGAAGACTCTAGCAGAGGACAGAACGCAATGGAGACGCACGGCTGAAGCCCTATGTTCTTGTAGGAATTAAGCGATACAATAATAATAATGATAATAATAGTGTAATGTATTCGCATCCATGGTTAGAAGATTTGTGCACGCAAATTAACCTACTGTATCATTTTCATGGCTGATCAGCACTTTGAGACTTATTTTTTACTTTTTCGGATGCTACATTTTTTAAGCTGGCTCACCACCTTATTTCATAAATACTCATCGGACACATCTGACGCATCATCTTAGGCACTAAGTATTCACCCCATCCAAGTTAGTTGACCATCAGCTCGTTTAGCTCACTGAAGTTATCCAACACTTCAGAACACGGTAAGGCTGCTCTGAATCTGGTCAACAAATACAGGGTTAATATAACACGTCCATATTTGCATGAAGCTCTGAGGTGGCAGTGAATTTTCAGTTTTTTTTGTTTTTAATGTGTTCTGTTCTTATATACCCAGACAATGTAAATAATAATATGTAGATTTGATTTCATTCCCAGTACGCAGTGCAGTACTCTTAGCTTCATTAACCCTATTTTGCAGGTACGCCACGCTGATTGTGAAGAATTTTAAAATCTTTATCATTGTCACTCAACAGCTATAGGACTTTAGCACATTTCAGGGGATCAACAATAGAGAACTCAGGGAAGTTTTGGAAGTGTAAACAGAATTAAGAGAAGCCTGTCTATTACCTGTGATGATATTCTTAGTTGTAGTGGATTGGATTATACGATGGAGTGTCATGCGAGTGAAAAAGGAGTGCTCTGAACCGATATTGTGATTCAAAAAAATCTGGAATTCGCGTATGATATTCGTCTAGTGTCATATAAACCCTATAACTCATATGCAAAGACCGACGAAACGGCAATCAAGGCAGACGTTCCAACTGCACTGACAACATTTACATCCTATGCAATCATGATCTACTGATTTACAGTAAAGCAAACACAACAGTGAACATAAAGTGTTGATGTCATTACATCGATACAAAATCACGTGAGCTGGCATTTATGAATCATGGAGATCCATAAAACAGTCGCCATGATACAACTTATATCTCAAAAAATATCAATTCTTCTAAGCAAATATAAGTTCAAGGTTCATTGCATAAAGAGTTTTATTTATTGAATATCTGCCATTTGAAAAATATTTCAATTACATATTCTAAAAATATTGCCCGAGTTAACAGAAATCACACATCAGGCAAATATGTTAGCAATACACTTTGTCACCTGGACGTATGATATCAAACTGATTTGAGTTGGTTCGCAACAACCATTAACATCTGAAAAAAGAAAATGGTATGAAAACGTGAAAATTTGAAAATTACCATTAGCACATTTAGGAAAAAAAAGTGTTGGGTGAATACATGCATATTTTCCTCGTCATCGGCTATACATTAATCACTAGTTCCTACATCAAAACTATTACACTCATGCTGGTTCGTCTTCCTGAATACTGGACATCACGTTTACACTGAAAGAGGTTTCAAGCTTATAAATCATATCAATCCCATATTATCGAAACTTTCACATACTCCACAAGTACGACCTCTACTTACAGTGAATGAAATTGGGATTCTTATGAACAAGCCAAATTTGCGCGTCCAAAAGAAATTTGTGGTGCCTCTATCTATTCCGTGGCCAACTTCATAATATATAAAAGATTTTACTGACGATTCTATACCCCCAGTGTTATTTTATTCCAGCTACAATCGCAGCTAATTGAACCAACGTGTTTTTATCGTATTATTACTGCGTAATTCTGCATGGTCATTCCCTTTTTCTTAGTCATCACCATTCTAGAAATTTCACTATTACAAAATCATCTTGTTGTTCATACCTTACAAATATACTGATCTTTGATTACAGTGTTACTTCCACCCCTCCATCAAAATTTGGACATCGTCTTACCAACATCTTGTAGTTAATTATTGTGACGATTTCCGAAAACATCCCTTTCTTCACTTAAAACTAGTCATACTTATTGGCTAAAATAAATGCATGCTTGGTATAATTTTGATGAACAACGACAGACACTGGTGTAGAGACAGTGACTAGGAACTATTTGAAAAAAGAGGATATATCTTCGCTTAGTTTGTATTTTTCGGAATAAAATGTGTTTCAAATTTAGTAAGAATCCTGCCAGTCTGACAAGCTTTTCAGCAGTTCAGAGAGGGAAATTAATCTGAACTTACCAAACACATGGAAGTGTTGAGGAAGGCGCCCACCAGCATTTTGTAGAGGTCCTACAAAATAAACATTGAATCTTGTAAACACTCGAGGCAACCCAGGAGAAGAATTCTAAGAGTCCACACGGAGTTATTGAGCGGTAAAATGCAAAGCTGCAAAAATAATGTGAACTAGAATAACTGTGTATTCAGAACCTAAATCAGCTTTCTTCCATCCAACTGAAGACATATTCAGCATGATGTCCAGAAATAAGGGTGAATAAGATTTAGTGAAGAGATGAAGTGTTGCTATGCATCTAATATTCCGCAAATTTCTGGGTTGAATTCAATGCTCAAATGTGTGATTCCTACGATATATTAGTCACAATGAGTAAACGATTTAAAATTAAGTTAATGCATACCATATAACCTGTATGCTGTGCAGATTTGACAAAATCAATCCAAGTTACCTTACTACCGCTGAACAAAATGTTGTGTAGTCCATTTACTTCACAGAATAATACGATTGACTGCTGTAAACTAATTCTAATACCAGTCGCTGCTCTTCCAGTCGAGTTCTATAAAGTTAATGTATATCACTCAAACAAGATGCTTCAAAATGCTGTCTCTCTTCCTATACACCATGTGGGTAGTAGGATTTCCTATTGTCATGGACAGGTACTGAATAATTCCATTACATGCATATTCTCAAATGTCATCACAAATAAATTATCAGCTATCAATCTTTGACTTCACCAGGTTGTATACAAATTCGGGTCATTTTTTTGCAATTACTTTTGGATGGAGAAGTCTGACATTACTCGAAAATGTCATTGAATAGATCATTATGCAATCAACGAGATTTCGATGATTCACAAAAGTTTCCTTCAGTGAACAAACGTCGTTCACCTAAACGGTTATTTAAACAGCTGATCATTGACGAAATTAATTCGTCCTACTAAGATTGGAAACTGTTTACCGTGTGACATTGTTATGCTTCCCTCATGCATTTTTATGTGTGTTTGTTAATTTCAAGGCATTTGGAGACTAGCGGATATTTGAAGTGATATACAAATTGTAAAATTACTCAAGCGGTTGAACAACGAACGTCAGTGAGTAACAAATCATTTGACATTTCATCTTACTTACCTCAAAATACCAAGGTATGAACGTCAAAACTACCGCAATAACTGCACAAATTATCGATGAAACCGCCAGTACGACAGCCACAATTATTTTCAATCTTCTTCTCATGAAGAATAAAATAATCACTAATAAATCTTCCAGAATAGTGAACATGAATAGGTATGAACACTTTAAACTAATGCCTTGGCAATCTACCAAGCAGACTTCTGCCGACCATAGTAAAAGCTGTTGGCAAAATAAATTGAAAAAGTATAAATAAATGGAACAAATTGAATAGTCTTCATAAATGTTGTGCCATATCTAACTTCTGTATCATTTAGCACAAAAAATTATACTATATCAAACTTCAAAAAAGCTTCTGTCTCAGAGGTTCGTACGAGAGTCGCTTCTTCGGTGGAGCTTCGTGGCTACAGGCCAGATATACACCTGTCTTATAGTATGCCGATTTGGTACATTTTATCAGTGAACTACGAAAACTGGGGGCTAATCATTATCAGGTGTGATGTGTAGTCAGAAAAACGTGTCTTTCAATAACAAGTAGTAATTGAGTTTGACTACGCAAGAGTTAAGTGCCTTTACTGATTAAGAAATCTATCATATTTTCCAAGTGCAGATTTAATGATGGCCAGACTCGTATTCTGTTAATACAAGCCAAACACACACACTATGGATGAGTTTGGAAAAAAGTCGTCCACTGCAACATGCTTCGTTGTCTGAATAAATTCCATTTTTCAATTTTATAGTGAGCTGGCCAGTATACGAAAAACGATCATCATAAGCTGGCATACAGGAGAACTTACCACTATTGCGAGGAATATTCTTTCAATTCTCCAGTTTCTGCTGTATTTGAGGCACAGTATTAAAGCGATGACGAAAAGAATTGCTCTGAAAGACAAATATGAAACTGGGGAGTGAATTTCAGTGGTGTTATTTATAAGCATGTGTAATAATCCAACGTAGAAGGAGTATTCCTGGCACTAATTATGCAACAAAATACATTTCTGACCATCACATTATCTCATGCTTCAGACGAACTGATTGTTTTTCATCTAGTTGAACATTGTGCTTGTAATCACTGGTTAACAACGACGTATATAAAAGTAAATTTCATAAATGGCTTTTATCACTCAAATATAGTAGAATGTGGGACTCACATGCAAATGACTGCTACAGTGTGCGACAACTTCATCTTAAAATATTTCTCTGACCTAAAGAACAAGAAATTCATTATAAGTTTTAGGTGAAACGATATTTGTGAGGGTTTATTTTGAAACTGATTATCATTTACACTGACACAATGTCGAATTCGGACAGTTCACTCAGTCATCAGTGTGGTTGTCACTACTTATACTATTTCATGCATGAAATTACAGCATTTTCTCCCCCTTTTTTAAATATTGGTTCAGTGATGCTTTAATGTGTAAACGTAAAACGCGAATGACAAGCTTCGCAGGAACAAAGTAGGTTGACTTTGCTCACATTTAAAAATCCTCTTTCAAATTGAGTCTCCACATACTTAAACACAAATGGTTTATTTAATATATGTATATATAAATGATGTAACGAAATGTTGAAGTAACACATAGCCCCGAGTGAAGGAAGTGTGCTGAACACTAATATATTCGCAATTTCATTAAACGACAACAAAATTATAATACCGACAAACAAAAGAAGGTGGATAACTTACTAGTGAATAAAATATGATTTCAAACTAAACGTCAGATTAGTGATATTCGAATAAAGTGCTCGTGCTCATATATATTCATCTCATACTCGAAACTTTGATCCAGACTTCCAGACAAAACGTTTAGATAAAATATTAACTCAAAAATATAAAACTTGATACGATGTACTTTAAAATTATGAAATGTAAGAAATACATACAAACATAAAAAATAATGACGTCAGCTACATTCGTAATTATTCTTAATTTTCAGTTTTTTGGAGTGGTTGCTCATCCCATCACCACATATCCGCTGAACGGACTGACATGAAATGTGGCTATCCATGTTGAAATATGCCTAATAAAAGTCCGTTACCAAGTCTTTTCTCTTTCGACGTTATATTTGAAATATGGAACCGCCATTGACATTGCAGTTCATGATTTCATTCAGCCTCGAATATCCTTATGAGTCAATTTCAAAATGAACAGGCCTATATGAGGTATTCTAGAAACCCATGGGCAGTATAAGGAATAAGATAAAAATATCTACAGCTGGTCAACCACGTCGAAATAAGTTACTTCTCATAAACTGTAACCGCCTTTGTTTTTGGGGTTTCTATGTGAACCCACAAGCTACCACTGTTTCTGTTAATCAATTTTTCTGTTTTCTGTCTTACCTCTCCGCCCTATTTTCGACTTTGAAAGTGTATAAATTGATGATGATATCTTGAACTAAAAAATTGTAATGCTTTCATTCTTTTTCGGATGTGTCAATTTTCTGTCTTATCTACTACTACTCAAACATTAAAGTATGTTATTATCATTTATATAACCATTGTAATTTCAGGTGGTCTGCAGCTGATTAGAACCTGTGAAATAGAATGATATGATTTTATACAGCAAATTTCGTCTTCCTTTCTTTATCGAAACGTATTTAATCTTCTGCACAGGTGAAATGTGTCCGATGAATCGCCAGGAGACTTGATGTGACATAAGTGTTCGTGATAAAATTGAAGTTTTAGTGAGACATCTAACAGTTACACAGTCAGTAGAATCGTTTTAAAATTTGAAGCAGAAGTAGTTAGCAGCAGACCAATATGAATAATAAAAGTGGCAATACCACCACTTCGCTTCTACTTTGAACCGAATCAGCCATATCAGTGCATAGTGAATCCATTTAGAGATACTAAATTGTCATCATATAAATGGTGGAGTTAAGTTTCATGAAGTGCTATTACACCTGAATTGCAACAAACATCTCAAGATAATAAAGCATACTATCTTGTTCAGTAATGACTTGAAAACTGTGCTCAGAATCACAGGAACATTCATCTGATCCACTTGAATACGCTTCAAAGCTCGTTTCCACCCACCATGATGCTTTCTTCCTAATTTGATTAAAAACCCATAGATCCACTGGTAGGAAACATTTTGAATATTTTGAGGAGTAGACACTAAGATTTTGAGATATAACTCAATGATTAAAGCAAGATAAATCTGGAAAAGTACATTCATTGTGCAAGATGCAAACTTTCGATAGCCCTAGTTTTGAGCAGGACGTCACTATTTTCACTATCTAAAGTGATGTTATCGTGTAAGCACTCCTTTTTGATGTTGTATGATACTTTCAATTCATTTCATTTTTAATCAGTAAAATTTTTAAACCTTCACTGTGTATACCTGATTTTGCGTTGATTTGTTTAGGATTTGTTTATTACGCACATTGAATTCCTTAAAAGAAGTAACCTCGACTCTATGTTCTCTGTGGAAAGAGGTATATGATGATCAGAATATTGACTACTCTTTAACCTTGCTTGTTACAACTCTAATATATTCGAATTTTTTCAGAAATTATTTGATGAACGAGTATCAGATTTTCATAATGTCACCAAAAGATGACAAATATGGAGACACTTGAAGAAAAGAAACAATCAAAGAAAGTCTCAGCAAGTGATATGAAGAATACTAAAACTACACACAGGATGTCGGACAAGATACTTTCTGAAAGTGAAATATCATTACTGCAGAAAGGATTGAATTCCAACATCACTAGGAAGTCATTACGGATTCAGGAACTGGTACCTATGACTGTTCCTGCTCTACCAATGAAGAATCACAATCTGTGCGAAACATACCATCTAATCCCAGAAAACAAGAATATGAGGCCCCAAGAAACTTCAAATAAGGAAAAAGCATCGTTATAACTAAAGGAAAACGTCACTGTGATAACGAACCAGAGTGATCCAGCAAAGAAGGCGATTGAAGACGTACCCGATGAACAACACTTACTTTCTGAAGAAAAGGAAAGATCTGAGCAACTCAAAAAAAAGGAAACTGAATACCAACAGACTCCTTCAAGACCCAATCCTGAATGGGAAATTAAGAACAGTAGTGGATTTTACCAATTCACTGACATACAATCTTTTCAGATACTTATTTTCGAGATGACATCCACTGCAAAATACACTCAGATTACTGTGATTTCAAATGCACAATAAAACACCGAGAAGTGTATAACGACTATATTATGGTATGCTGTGATATTCATCCATTATGTACAAGTATTCTCATTATCGTGTTTTGATATCATTTTCAGTTTACTAGAATCAGACACAACGCTATCAAAAAGATGTCAACTGGACACCAGTGAAATAATTAAGAGCTTGAAATTCTGTCTAGAAAGTAATTATTTTACATTTAAGGGGAATTCATAAAGACAGATAAATGGTGTTGCTTTCGGTTCACTGGTTTTCCCAATAGTTGCTGATCTTTTCATGAATAGATTCGAGGATAATATCTTTTCAAGCATACTCACGCCTAAAATATGGTTAAGATAGGTTGATGACAATTTTGTTGTGCTGAAACAGAATCTACACAGTTCATTCTTGGAGAAACTGAACAATCCATTTCTGAAAATCCAGTTTACTTCAGATACAGAATCAGACGTCAGTGAACTACCATTTCAAGACTGCCTAGTTGAAAGGAGGGAAAACAAACATTTTAGTATATCTTTATTCAGGAAGAAAAACCATTCCAACACATATTTAGACTTCGAATCACCGCAGCCCATCAAAGCAAATCTAGCAGTTTTTGGTGTGTTCTGTGACAAGCACACCTATTGATAACATATGCGAAGGGAAAAAGAGATTACTGAGACTCCCAAACAAAAAACTACAAAAAACAACAAAACTACTACTACTTTCAACAAAATAAACACTGACATTAAGTATGGTCGAAGACGCATTCCGAAAACATGGAACTCAACAGTTGTCTTTACATGTAGAACAGAGACGTCAGAGGATATCAGAAGAGACCCCAATAAGCACGAAATCAGAGTTTTCTTCAAAACATCAGACACTGCGAAGCAACCTTGTTCGTATAAATGACCAAATCCCTTAAGATTAAGTATCTAATTGTGTCTATAAAAACACACTTGGAATGTATAGCGTGATACATTGGACAACATCTCGAGAAATGGAAATCAGAAGGAATGAACACCGTAGATCATCTGTTCGACCACCAAGAATTCCAGCTGAAGAAGAAAAGCCTGAGTAATCGTAAGCCATAGGTCTACACGCTATAGAATCAGGCCACAAAATTGATTTTGACAATATTCAAATAATCCAGAAAAACTTCAGTAATCACAAGAACGTCTAATATCAGAAGCACTTATATCAAGTGGAATCCAAATTGCCTGAATAGAAATGATTGACTACAACAAAATTTGACCTGGTTACAACTCCCCCCTCCCCCATGAAGTGACAAAATCAACACGAATATGATAAGCTACTTCATTATGTAAAAACATGCTGCTTTTATAACTTGATACACTCATCAAATCCAATAATGTACACCTGCTTTTGTTATCTTTACCAAGTGACAACTTGAAAACTTTAAAATTACTCCATGCTGATGAATCATGGCTCTATTTCTACATATAAGCTGAGAATTTGTAAATTCTGGTTTAATGACCCTTTGATTAAGCTACTAGCGAAACGTTAGTAGGAACAATATCGCTTTGTTTTTATGCATTCGGAAATATAAACAACCTTCATTATAATGAATATCATATACCTAATGCCCAATTTTTTTCAAATTCTTAAAAGTGAACTTTGTTTGGACATGATCTAGTAATTCATAAATGTGTTGCGGTTCGAAACTCTGATAATAAATTTCAAAATGTCTGCACTATTTGTCACAACTGCTAGGTATTTAAAGTACGAAAGGAAGCTCGGCGGACGCGAATTTATTGAAAGTATCCAGAGCCAACAAACAGGCTCGGGAACACTATACAGCATAATTAGCGAATGGAGAACACAAAGGTATATACAGTTCGGTAACAGAACATTTAGTGAATTCAGCACATTCAGCTCCATTTGAAAAGTCCTTCAAAGTCACATACACCGTCCGGTCACATATATTATAGGAAGTGAAATCAAAGCATTAAGGAATAGCTGATGTACTGGAGACTCAAAACTGAAGCCTGCTCTATATATGTTCAAACTAAATAGGTCCAACCGTTGTCCTTACCCTGGCCATCATGCAAAGAATTCCGCCATAATGATTATCCTGTGCTTTCTGTCCAACTTATCTCTATGTCTGTTATTTTCACGTTTTTAATTCTTTTCTGCATTACTAGATATGAAAGCTGCTTTTTAAAATTTTTTAAATGTCCGAACTTCATATCTATTTTGTTGATAATATGTCATTAAGCCATACTTACACGAAGTGACAAGTTTTTCCAGTAATTATAATTTTATTGT